GCTAGCTAATTTTGCTTGTGGCAAGGGCAAGTACAGTCATGTTGAAAAGAGTACTGGCTAATCGTAGTTAACACCCAGGGATTTGAAAGATTTTTCTACAGCAGACTTCTGTCCCTCCCCACATCCTTAAAGGTTTTCAGTGGGATCAAAGCTCAAATGAGACGACATTTTTAAAAACCATTCCTGTCATACAAAGTACAAGATTGTTTACCAATTCATTTTAACATGAGATCTTCCTAGCGTAGATACAGCTCTAATGGCAGCCAGCATTTTAGCCACCATGTCATCTAACCCTTCTTAAGAGAAAGTCTGGAAGAGAACAATATTTTAGGAGGCACAAACAGTCTACTGGAGACAAGTCTTCCTTCTGTTTTATATAATTCTGAGTAGAAACCTCCTTCTAGCTCAGCACCTCATTTTAGTCCTAGGTATCCTAGGCCAGTTAATAAAAACAAAAAACAAAACAAAAAAAAACCCACAAAAAAACACCCAGCACAAAATTCCCCACTGCTGTTAGCAATGCTCAGCCCTCTAGTGAAGATGGTCTGCAAGGCCTGACAGTTTTCATGGCTATAGCTCAACTAATTATGAGATCTTGGACCAGTTACTTTTGTCAAGCCAGCCAGCAAGTCAGTAACTAAGACTGATCATCCCTGCTGCCAGTGATCAAAAGGCCTCTGCAGGGAAATGCAAAGTGTGCTCAGATAGACAGGGCCCTTTGGGCTCTCTGTACAGTGTCATAAACAGAATCCCATCCTCTGGACTCCTATTCACATGCCTGACCACTCCTTCCTGTGCTGTTTACCTTTGAGACTTTTCAAATATGACAAAGAATAAAATTTGTGCTATTTTACAAAGAACACTGCTTCCATCCTGATTTCTGAAAGGCAAGACAGGACAGAGAATATTTGAGATCTAGTATCAACAAGAGTTTTCACTTCAGAGAAGCCATTCACACACACAGACACACAATTTTTAAAAAAGAAAAAGTAGGCTTATTTAAACAGATGGCTCATCCTGCTATAAGCACTGTAATGTGATGTGAATGTTCCCAGCAGGGAGAGATTAGATCTGAGAAGTAAAGTGTTATATCGCCGAAGCAGCAATCAGCAATGGAGCCTTATCTACACAAGACAACAGCACAGTAGCAACTTCCAAGCAGCACATCCAGGTAAGCATAAACCCACTGAATACATGCATGCACACCCCTCAAAAAAATATCACTATCAAAAATTCTTGCATAGAAGTCATTTTTTAAGGTTAAAGATGACCTAGGTTTGGGAAGTTAGTGTGTTCTTTTTTTGTGCTGCCTTGCACAAATCAGTGATGCCTGGAAGTTTCCCCCGGCATTAAAAACTGATCCTGGATAAACAGCATCTTTGCTAAATTCCAGTCACCTTTACTCCTGCAGTTAAGGGCTCAGCCTCACAATACACAAGCTCTTTAGACAACAATTCTTCAGAAACTAAACAGATCAGACTTGATGCTTGTGATACTTCAGAGGTAACGCACAATCAGAAGCAGTGTTTGGAAAATGCATTTTGGGTCCTTTTTTGTATGTCATAAGACAAATGTGAGTATGGGAATCAAAATAGTTCTTATATTAAGAAAGAAGAGTGCTTCACAGAACAGGGAAGCGATATACAAAACTGCATTCGTTCAAAACAAAAAAAGCAACCAGATGTTGAGGATGCAACAGTGCAGTTGCAACACCCTCACTTTTCTGCTTACAACAATGCTGGAGTGGCCAGTGCCAAATGCAACCGTGGTGATTCTTGCTCTGGACACATGCAGTTGCACTATTGCTGACATCATGTTTACACCTTTGAAGTGTTTATGTGGAAGGCGAGGCAGGCAGGCATTACAATATCCAGATTCTCCAGTGTAACACGTGGTGGAGAGCACTCAGTGACAGCCCCAGTGAGTGTACAGAGATCCTAGGACAGTAATAGGTATTTCTAAGATGTCCTTAAGATTTTTTGTAACTATACACTTTTATAAAAACATTTTTTAGCTCTCTAAATACACTCTTCCTTTAAAGGCGATTTGCAGAGCCTCCTTAAAAGAAGCAAAGCAACTGCAAGTAACAGAACACAGGATTTTTATTACCGAGTTTTCTCTGCTCCTGCTTATTCCTCTTCTGAGGCCATAATTCTCTTTCTGACATGAGCTGCTCCACAGCAACTAAATAGTTTATCACAAACTAAACAGTATGACATCAGACAAGGAATAAAAGCAGAAGGAACAGATGAGCTCTTCAGGAACAATGAATCTACTTTCGTGCAAACTCCATTGTCTCATTTTTAAATGACTCAAAAGTACTGAAGAATAATATGCTACAGGAACAACTCTTAACTGGTGAAAAAATCGACTACATAGTCTACTGTGTCTTCAACATCTAATTTCTACGTATTTTTAAACAAAGAATACAACTATACTTTGCAATTAAGTTGTTCCATGACACAGGAACAAGCCTTTAGTCACTCGAAGCTAATTCTTGGAAAAGAATTTCCTCTTTTAAACATAAGTGATTTACTGTTCTCAAGGACACCATTTGCAGAAGGGGGTTTAGTTCCCAAGTAAACAGCTCCCTATTGCAAATGGGAATCAAGGGGTACGCTGCCAGGCAGTCTGTAAACAGCTTAGAACTTCATCTGGGTGAATGGTCACTTCAGTCATTTATCCTTGTCCCCAACAGTTTATAGTCTAAATAAAGAAAAGATGGAGAAAAAATAAGCCACACAAAGGAAGTGCATGCAGCATGTACCTTGTTAGCTCCCTGCTGGTTTAAAAAAAAAAAAAAAATAAAATTAACATTGTTCTGTTTTGAAGAAACACTATATTGTCTATGGTTCTAACTCACCATCTGCCCTGACCCTACACCCTTGCATTAACTCCTGCAAAAGCAAGTTAACATAAGGAGTTGAGAGACTAACACAAGGGATTGAGAGTGATGAGCACTTCAGGTCACTTACTGTAACTTGTAATGACGAGTGCCGGTTTTGACCATAACATCCTAAACACTCAAGAGATTTTAAATTGAAGCAACCCTTTCCACTTAGCAGAAACATCTGTCTATGAAAGCATGTTATCAGTGACTGATCTTTTTCTTCCATCATAGCACCACAAGAAAGTGCCAATAATTAATTCATGATGTCACAGGCATGGCTTTACTGTGAAAGCATGATTTTTTTTTTTTTTTTTTTTTAAAAACACACAAAACCCCAGACAGGAGGGGAGACAAGACAGCCTTCCATCTTCAGCTCCCTCTTTGCAAAAACGAAGTTTATTTCCTACCTCTAGGGACTTTTGACCATCTACACTTCCCCCAGAGCCCGATGAAGGGACTTGGATCCCAAAAAGCTTGCAGAAAAGGACATTTTTCTTGCCGTTTCCCCGCTGGTCTAATAAAAAGGTATCAACTTGGAACCAAGAGCTCTAGTTTTTTGGGACGTCTTCTAAAAACCCGAACAAAAAGAAAACAAAACTCGACAGGAAGCAACACCTCGGGTGGGAGAGCAACGAACCCTTACGTCGAACCAGCCCACGAGCAAGGGATGTAAATCCTCCCTTCCTCGGTGGGCTCGTTGCCCCTCGCCCGCCCTAACACGAAGACGCTGACCAGACAAAACACGCCCGCGACGCGGGGGACGAAGCCCACCGCCGCCGAACCGTTCAGTCCCACTAAGACGGCGGGAAAAGGCCGGCCGGCGTTTCCTTTCCCCCACGGAGGCCGGGTCACGAGTGGTCTCGAGCCATCCCCGTCCCACCCCCCGCCCCGCAGGGTCTCCGCAGACAGGAGGGAGAGGAGCTGGAGTTTACCCCGCTGGCTGGAAGGGAAGAGGGAGGAAGGAGGCTCCCCTT